CATGAATACTCGACTAATGACTGCCGACCCATTTGCCAATGTTTCTAAACCTAACACTACCTCTTCTAAAAAATGAACTCCATATGAGCCTAACCTGTGCATTGAACGTACTAACGGAGAAAGGGTATCTCAAACAGCTCAATCCTTGACCTCTCCTTAATCTTCTCCTACCTACACACGACTTTACCCAATATTGCACATTCTATTATTAGTACAGTCACCATACTCACCATTGCTTTTGCCTTTACCATGAAATTCAAGACTTGATTGACAACAAAGTCATTAACCCACCTGAAAATCCCAAAGCTGTTAATAATCCTCTCCCTGGCCACAATAAATTTCCATTCCATAACATAAAACCCACCCACAGCTTGCTAACAACCAACCATTACCCTAGCCAACACATCATACCCGCCAACGAGCCCAAATCCATTTTGTTCATTCCTGAATCTTCTCATTCTGATCTGAGCAAAAGGAACAAAATCTTTGAAGAGATGGAAAGTTTACTCGATCTTGGCGAGTTCAAGCTTGATGAAGCTGTGATGCTAGCACTGGTGGTTGGAATGATGAATCTCAATCTCAGCTAGGGTAATTGTCGAAAGCACTTGGGAAGGACCATCTAAACTAGTGGCATGGTGTGAAAAAGCAATTGTTTCAGTCAATAAGATGTGTGGAGACAACGTGATAATGAAGTTCAGTCTGTGAGACCCGATTTCAAAGTCGAAAATCAATCCTTCTACGTGTGGAGGTGTATTGTTGAACTAAAGGCAGGTCTAGACCTTCCCATGGGCTACTTGAAGCTGTTTTTGAAATTCTACAGGTGGACTTGGAGAAGGGAAACCCCTTTTGTCTGAGAAATTCTTATTTTGTTTTGAGTTATGTCATGTAAATAGTTTTGTTGTGAGTGTTATTTTCTTTGTCTTTTCTTGCATTGTTGCGTCAGTTGAGTCTTTTCCTTTGAGTCGCTCTCGTGTATCCTCAGGTATTCACCTTTATAAGAAAGTGGGAGTCAAGTTTCTGATCATTTTATTGTGCCTATAGTGATGCATGTGTGACCTTTTGCAAATAAAAAAGGCTTTAAATTTGCTTTTGAAATTTTTTTTTTTTTTTTGAATGAGATTTTGTTAATAAGGTCGAGTATTGAGAAGGATCCCGTGAATGATTTGAGTGAATTCTAACTTATCGACGCAAAGTCATTCATGATTTCAAAAAATTTAAGCTGTTTTTTTCTGCAAAACTTGCAAAGATAGGTTCAGAATTGTGCATGGTACTCTACATTGTCCCGTTAGGCGATCATTTTGGCAAGCACAAGGCGGCTTTAAGACCTGCCAGTAGAAGGCGGCATCCAGACCTCACAAATCATAGAATTTCTCCCCTGGTGTTTTCATTATTTCAAAGAGAAAGGATAAAAGAAACCTAAAAAAAAATGAGAGAGAAGAAAAAAGAAGAAAAATAAGAAAAGAAAAAAGAAGAAAATGAGAAAAGAAGAAAAAAAAAGAAAAAAAAGAACAAAAAGAAAGGAAAAAAGAAAAGGAAAAAAGAAAAAAAAGAAAAAGAAAGAAGTCAATTATCAAGCCAAGGGCATCTATTGGAATGAAATCCAATCAACTGTGAGGTAGGGAACTTCTGTCCGAATTTGGAGAAACCAATGCAAGAAGGTGCCACATTGTGAGAAGAACCAACTCTAAAAATGGAGCAAAAGAAAAGAAGAAGACATGCATAAGAGAATGGAGAACCAAGCTCAAATCAAGGAGAAGCCAGTTCCAGTGTTAGGGTGAGAATGACTATTGATCAAATTCACCGCAAGTGTTGTAACACTATCCTTGAGAGGCTTGTTAGGCCGAAAACTCGAAAGGCAACCTAGACAAAAGTTAGAGCATGAAAAATGACAAATTAAATAAAGATATCGCAAGGTTGAAAATGCCGTAGGGGCGACTTTGGTAAAAATTAGAGTGCAAAATGAGAGTGTCAATACCTGAGTGAACCTCAACCATGAACTACGTTGACCTGATTCCCATTCTTGGAATATGTAGACAACTTTATCCTGAAGTACGGTCTCAACCATATCTATCTCATTCATCTCGATTCAATCATCTTGCCCAATTCAAGTTGTCAACTTCGCGTCAATCCATGAGCTACACCGATTGTTATGCATATCACAGAGGGTGTTTGTTTAGGCTTTTCTGAGTCAACTCATAGCTTCTGGCTTTTGAAAAGTTATTTTGGACTGTTTGGTTAACCTTATTGCAAACAGTTTCTGATTCTAACAACTTATTTTAAGTCAAAAAAGCTGATTCTGAGAAGTTGTTCACCCCTTATTTCTAATTATCAGCTTCTGCTGTGGACATGTTAATTTACGATTATACTCTTAGATTTTTTTTTTATTTTTTATTTTTAAAAAAATAGAAAAAAAACCCAAATGGACTATAGAATATTATTACTTTTTATGAGAAATGTAGGTAAGTAGTGAATAACAAAAAAATAAAAGTTAATTGAAAAAGTTACTTCGCAGCTTATTTAACAAACACTACTCAGCAACTTAAATCTATAATCCAACAGTTACACCAAACAAATTAACAGCTTCTGATTAAAGTCATAATGTATAATCTGTTAAGCTATAATGTATAATCTGTTTTAACAGTTACACCAAATGGGACCATATACTTGCGTTGGGTAAGAAAGAACTAGCTTCAATTAACAAGTGGAGCAATTTTCAATACTTGAACTTATCAGTAGAATCTCTAACTTGAGCAAAAAAGGGAATCGAAATTGAGTTTTAAAGGGAACATAAATAATACTATGGGCACTATGAATAATCAGTCACCTTGAATCTTTTTTTATGCTTTTTGGTCAGTTGTGAGTTTTGTTGTATCATGCCTAGTATTTGTTTTAGTATGTGCTCTTCATCAAGTCACCATAACGTGTTTGTCTCAGTCAGCGCTCTTCATCGAGTCACCCTAGCGAGTCTGTCGCTCAAAGTCTAATAGAGTGGCATGGTCTCGAGTCACCCTAGTGAGTCTGTTGCTCAAAGTCTAACAGAGTACATGGTTAAAATTCCATACAAAGAATGAGATAGATTCTGTCCAACTCACTTTAGCTCAATTTGTTTAGGATGGATTAAAGAGAAAAAAAGAATTTAACTTTTATGATTTTGTTTAGTTTGAAAATGGTTTAGGGTATTTTTTTTTTTTTTGTATAACTCATATTAACATTGTAACTAATTTTTAATTTTTTTGTAAAAAAAACACAAGAAAATTTGAATTTTGAGTTACTTATAACTAAATTTTAAAATTTTTTATCTTTTTGTTAGAAAATTTTCATCTTAATATAATGCTTGCATGAAAATATATTTTCTTTTTTTTTCCTTTTCTTTCACTTTCACTTTCTATTAAATTTTATTTTGGGCATCATTAGTCCTATCTTGAAAATTTGAACTGCATATTTTTTTAAACCACAACCTGTAAATTATACAATAAAAAAAATCTTGTCGATTTGATTACCATAACCACATTAGTTTATAACATTCACTACAGTATATAAGAGTTTTAAAGACCAAATTTTTTATCCTCTGAAAGTAAAAATTTTGTTGTAAAAGACATTTAAAGACCAATTTCTATCATCGTGAGGATAGTCATTAAAAGGTCGTCTTGAAAAGTCAAAAATAAGGCTTTTGGCGACAATTTTTAAAATGTCACTAATAAATAGACTTTTAGGGACAAAATAATTTGATCTCAAAATGGTTTATTTTTTGAGACAAAAAATTTGATTCCAAAAAGATAATTAATTCATCACTAAGGCCTTGTTTGGCAAGTGGCTTTTTTAGCCAAAAAGTCACTAAAAAAAACAAAAAAGTCAACAACCCATAGAAAAAAGTCAAAGATTCTCTTTTCTCTCTACTTTTTGCACATCTTTTCATAAAAAGTCAAAAAGTCATCCCAAATATACTAATTTTTTTTAGTTCATATTTTAGCCAAATAGCCAAAAAGTTACTAAATTAGCATGTTCCCAAACGAGCCCTAATTTCCAATTTCCGTTACTAAAACTATAATAGTGACACTTTTCACAACAAAAATATTTGGTTCCTAAAAAATAATTGTCTCTAAATTTTGATCTCTAAAATCTTAATTTTTTTTTGTAGTGATTTATTTATAAAAAAATGAATGACAAATATTATTCCAAATCAAAGTCATATATTTTTTTAGAAATAAATATAATAAATAAAACGTGATTACGGTTATCCAATCAATCTGATTTTTCTCATGAATAATTTACATATTGTGGTCTAAAAATGAATTGTTCTAAGGAAAATATTTGAGACCCACAAAAAAACACTCACAATTTGGCCTACAATGAAATAGTACAATAGGTGTCAACTTTTGATTAGTTACATACTCAATAATATAAGACCTACCTTTTTTTACCACATCATTATGGATAAATTTGTAAATCTAAAATGTGGATCTCTAATATTACTTTTGTTCAAATTATTGAAATAATACTCATAATGGATTTCACAGGCCTAATAGGCCGTTCAATCTACTACTATAGATTGGAGAGAATTTCGTTCTAAGGCATCGTCTGGGAAGTGGTTTTGTGAGCTTTTTTGGCTATTTTAGTCACAGAAGACAAAATAGGCTATTTTAGCCACAACAAATAAAACATCACATCCAATCCATAATCATTACACATTTATCTTACAAAAAAAGTCAAAAAAGTCAAAAAGTCAAAAAGTTATTTCCAAACCAAGCTTTTAGCCCAGGCTAAAATAGCCAAAAAAGTCAAAAAGTCAACCCACTTCCCAAACCAACCCTTATAAATGTAGAGCTTAAATTAATAAAATTAAAACTTAAAGGTTAAAGTTTGGGATTTAAAATGTGATAATAAAAATAAATAAATAGAAAATCCACTGTTGAAGTTGTGAGGCATGGCTCACGTGGAAGCCCCTATATATATTCTCCATTCTTGTAGTGCTTAGCAAAGCAAAATACAGAGACAAGCATATGGAGATGAAGGTTGAGATAGTAGCTAGAGAAATCATCAAGCCATCTTCTCCCACTCCCAATCAATTTAGAATTTACAAGCACTGTTCTAGGGATCAATTCTCTCCCCATCATTACACCCCAGTTGTTTTCTTCTATGTCAACCCTACTAGTGATGTGAATCACGAAGAGATGGTTAGCATAAGATCCCAACGCTTAAAGGAAACTCTCTCTGAAACCCTCACTCGCTTCTACCCACTTGCCGGAAGACTGAGAGACAATCTCTTTATCGATTGCAACGACGAGGATGTTGAATATTTGGAAGCTCGAGTCACCGACTGTCGTCTCTCAGACATTCTTGAACAACCCAAAGCCGAAGAAATGTACCGTTTATTTGAACCCGACCCCGAAGACTTTAACAACAACCCTCTGTTATTCGTTCAGCTTGACTTCTTTCCATGCGGCGGAATGGCACTTTGTGTGCGTATGTCTCACAAGATCGCCAATGGAGTCGCGTATGCTGCCTTCGTGAAGGCCTGGTCCGACATCGCCCTCGGGTCGTCTGAGACTTGTCCCAGATTTCATTGCTGCCTCGTCTCGCTTCCCACCGAGAGAGGACTGCCCGGCGTTGTCAATGACATTCATGCAGATGACCAAGAAGAATGTCACAAAAAGGTTTGTGATCAACGCATCGCAAGTTGCTACCCTCCAGGCCAAAGCGACCAGCACGGTCGTGCAGCAACCTACCCGCGTGGAGGCTGTCACTGCGGCACTCTTGAAATGCGCAGTGACTGCCTCCCAATCACATGCCCTTAGATTTGAAACTAATGTTTCAAGTCCAAAGGCATATGCATTGACAGGGGCTGTCAACATACGCACAAGGCTTGAGCCACCCTTACCAAAATATTCTTTTGGAAATATAACAGGATTGTTGTGGGCAATGATCGAAGACTGTGGTGCGGAAACAGACCTGCCAGGCTTGGTTTGTCAGCTGAGGAAAGGGGTTCAACAGTCCACTGATAACAATTTCACCGTTGAAAAGACAAAACTGTTGAGACTCAAGGGAGACGCTGTGAAGGTGTATCGCCATAGCAGTTGGTGTAGGTTTGGTCTACACGAACTTGATTTCTGGTGGGGGAAGCCAACATATACGACTGCTGTTTTATTTGGTGCCCCAATTGGAATTGGATTGTTGGACACAAGAGATGGTGACGGAATAGAAGTGTGGATGACTTTGTTGAAAGAAGACATGGCCTTGTTTGAAAGTGACCCGGAGTTGCTAGCTTTTGCCTTGCCGAACCCAAGTGCACTCGAAAATTGATCAATTAATAATAATAATAATAATAATGTTATGATGATCAAAGTTGTTAAGAATAAAGTCTTGTAAGTTGTTGGATCATGCATATGTCACTACAAGAAAAAATATTTTTGGCGACTAAATTTTTAGTCGCTGAAATTTGAGTTTTTACTTTCAGCGACTAATTTTTTTAGTCGCCCCTTTTGTCGCGTATATATGGTCGCCGGAGGTATTGGCGACTAAAATTCTTTTAGTCGGCAAAAAATAGCTCTTTAGCGACCAACTTTTTAGCCGCCAATAGTGATTTACACTTTTTAAAATCACACATTTGGCGACTAATCTTTTAGTCGCCAATAGTCCATGAATCGCCGACTAAACGGTTTAGCCGCCCAAAATAAACAATTTTGGCGACTAAAATTTTTGTCGCCAAAGGTCCTTCTGTGAAAAAAAAAAATCAATTTCTTTGTTTTTCTGAGATTCGAACCCGCCAACCTCTCCCACATTCAAACCGCCAACACCTTTAGCAACACACTCCCTTCACTATGCCACTTTAACATCACATGAATATATATGCAATATATATTATTTATATAGTATATCGACCGGTATTAATACAAAACTATAGTAGCCAAAATGGTTTTTAGTCGCCAAAACCACCACTTTTGGCTACTAAACAACCTTTAGTCGCTAAGACCCCTACATTTGGTGACTAAACTCTTTTAGTCGGCAAAAGTGTTCAATTTTGGCGACTAATTCCATTTTAGTCGCCAATTCTACTACTTTCAGCAACGAAAAATGAAGTTTTAGTCGCCAAAAATGCTTTTTCTTGCAGTGTGTGTTGCACCTTTTGGTGCTGCAAGTGTCTGATTCCTTTGTTCGAAGACTCCAATGTTGTTTGGTATTTGCTTGGCTACTAAGTTGGTCTAGGTGGGAGAGTAGTCCTTTGTGGATGATTGTAAGACATTAACGTTGGATTTATTTTCTAGTGTAGCCTAAAGCCCTATATATCTTTTATATGTTTTATTTTATTTGGATTCATCAATTAGATAAAGTTCAGTAATTATAATTTTAAATATGAGATAATTATTTTTTTAAGATAAGAAGGAAATCTTGATGGATAAGAATTCTTTTGATAGAGTTTATCTGACCATCTTTTCTCCTCTATACAAGGATGGGTGACTCCCTTTCATAATTGTAGTATTTTTCCATCACTCAAAGTTTTATTGTCATCCTAATTAAGAGAGACATAGGGAAGAATGTGAGCCAAGAATTTAAGGTTCAACTATTAGGCATATTTTCTCAACTTCTCTAATTCAATAGCTGACAAAGGTATGTTCGTTTTATTCTTGAGATGTATTGAATTCAAGATTTTGTTCCACATTATTATTATGGTTCATGTATATTAATTGTTTACATGTGCTATCAGAGTCTTAGTTTTGTGAATCAATACATATTGAAATAACAATCATATATTTATGAATATTGTTATTACTAATGGTAACTCGTGCTATACACGAGACTTTATAAATTAAAAAAAAAAAAATCATTATAATTTTATTGAAGTAATTTAATATTTTGTCTTTTGGTATATATGAAATTTATAAATTAACTTTTATGTTTATAACTTTTTAAATTATTTAATTTAAAAAAAAATAATATATATATATATATATATAAATCTATTTTGTGAAATTTTGATAATTTGTATTAAAAAAAAGTTAAACCTGATTAAATGAGGTTAAATGAGTTATGTCATACCTCTTCTTGTTATGAAAATATATAAATTTAAAAGTTATAATTTAGACAAATATACAATTTTATTATTAAATATGAAGTGAAGTGATATTTAACAATTATTAATATGATGTTTCTAATATTAATCCAATAATTTAAGTTACATTTCTTTTGATTTCAATTTCATAACTAAAAATATAATATAAATATAATACACACAGATTTCCAGTTTTTAAAAATAAGAAATGTTTTAAAATATTTTCAAACTTTTATCATTTTCTTTTAATTTTTTTTATCTAATTTGATTTTAAATTTAAATACAAATTCTGATTTGATATGAATTACTTTAACTTTTTCATTAAATTTTTATCAATTTTTAACAGAACTTTCATTCTTATCCCAATTTTTTTTTTCTTTTCACCAATTTTGATGGAAAAAATAATTTAATTAATCAGAATTATAGTGAAATAACATCTTGAAATAGTCAAAGTTTGAGTATGTTGTTGGTTGAAATGTATAATTTAATTAATTTTCTTCTCATATTTGTATAAAAATTGACACTTATGACTATATCATTATAAGTTGGATTATGAAAAAAATTTTGAGGTGTCAAACATTTTCTATTTGTAAATATCATACATTAAAATAAGAAAAAAAGAAGAAAAGAAAAAAAAATCTCCAGCTTTTGGATATGTGTTTATCAGTTTTGTTTTATGGACATAAACAATTGATGTTTCAATTTAAAAAATTAAAAAGTAAAAAAAAAATAGATTGGGTTTTTTAGAGATAAAAGAAACCATCTAACTCTTTTATATATTATTTAAGATGGACTATTTTAATCATATAAAAAAGAAGAAATTATATTTAGAGATTATCTCTATATATTATGCTATTATAAACAACTATAGCGGCAACAAATTAACTATAACATATATGAAAAGTTATATTAAGCTTTCATTTTCACTTTATTGAATTATAATTAACAAACTAACAAATAGTAGCAAATGGTATAATGGGTTAGAAAGAGGATAAAAATAAAGAACACAATGATATTTAAAAGTTTTAAATTTACATAGCTATACAAAAATCTAATATTACAGTAAAATCTTGAATTCTCAATAAATTTTCACATTTTCTATAAAATAAAATGACAATAAAAAATAAAAAATTTGATACCCAATTTTTTATTTCAATTTTATGGTCTTCATTGAAGAAAACAAATTTCGATCAAAATCCTTGATGCAGAATGGACATAGATATTTTGATTGTAATTATAATCACCAATAATTCTTCTCCACCATGCAAACTTGTAAACAAATACAAAAATCTCACTAGAACCAAAACCAACACCAAACTAACAACAGATAAAGAGAATCACACAAGAAAAAGAAATAAAATTAAAAAACAAATAAATTTATTGAGTGAGAGAATATTACCTTTAACAACTTAGACCTCACCTAACCCAATCCGTTAGCTTCTCTGCCAGTGCCTGCGAAATCTAGGAGTTTGGATGACTAATCAGGTTATTCTTTAAATAAGACTTAAAAATTGATTAATTTGTCTCATTAAATGATTTAAAATTTTGATAGATATATATATATCAGAAAAATAGAAAATTACTAAATCATAATTGAAATTTAGATAGTCATATTTTTTTGAGATCAATATCTAAATTCTTATCTTTTCTTTATTTTTGTGTTCTTTCTATTTATTTATTTTTTTCAATTTATTTAAAATGGAGTTGTGTGTTTCTATTTGTTTTTAATTATTATTATTTAGGTAAGTTATAATGTGAGTAAGATATGTGATAGACACGTGAGTTTTATTGATTTAAAGTATGATGGTGGAAGATATTTTTAAATTAGATTTGTTTAGATAAATTTTAAAGATTTTTAAAATTTAAAATTAGATATTGAGATGCAAAAGAAATATTTTAATTGAATAAATAAAAATTAAATTTATTAATTTTATCTGTTTGTATACTTGATTTTTAGTTTTTTTTTGTTGTTATGTTATAATATAATATATAAGATATAGATAGATATCTGTATGTTTCATGAAAAATATTATTTTATTTTTTGGGAAAGAGAGAAAGAAGGGTAATTTGTTTTGGGGGGAAATCAATGAGAGGGATTATAATGGAGAGATTGTGAAATATTTTTGTTATCTTTCCATTTGAAATTCATAAATTAAGGGATAATTATTATTTCTAAAATAAATAAATAAAAAATCAGTCAATAATTTTTTTAATCTATTTTATAAATTGAAAAATCTATCATTTTAGAAAATTGATTAACTTGTCCCATTAGGTGATTTAAAATTTTGATAGATATACATAAAAAAATAAATAATTATATTACTAAATCATAATTTAAATTCAGATATTGTTCTATGTTTTTGAGATTTATGTCTAAATTCTTATCTTTTATTTTTTTTTATTTTTGTGTGGTTTCTATTTGTTTTTTTCTTCAATTTATTTTAGATGCAATTGTGAGTTTCTATTTTTTTTAATTTTATTTATCTGTAGTTTTTATTTTTTTTAATTATTATTATTTAGGTAAGTTATGATGCGAGTTAAATATGTGATAGATATGTGAATTTTGTTGATTTAAAGTATGATAGTGGAAGATATTTTCAAATCATATTTGTTTAAATAGACTTTATGGATTTTTAAAATTTAAAATTGGATATTGAGAAGCAAAATAAATATTTTAACTGAATAAAGAAAAATCAAATTTATTAATTTTATCTGTTTGCATATGTTTTTTTTTTTTTTTTTTTTTTTTTTTTGGTAATTTTTTTTAAAACTTTTTTTTTTTTTTGTAGTATGTGTGTGTGATGTTGTAATATAAGATATAGATAGATAACTACAATTTTCATGAAAAATATTATTTGATTTTTTGGAGGAGAGAAAAGGAATGCAATTTTTAATATTTGTTTTTCGAAAATTGGTGAGAAAGATTATGATGGAGAGATTATGAAATATTTTTGTTGTCTTCGCATTTGAAATTCATAAATTGAGGGATAATTATTATTTCTAAAATAATTAAATAAATAAATCAACAAATAGATTTTTTTAAATCTATTTTATAAATTGAAAAATTAATAATTTTATAATGAGAGTTTAGAACTCTTAGAAGGTTTCTCATCAAAAACTCTTTTCCTTACATAATATATAGATATAGATATAAATATTTATATTTGTTATAGATTTTTTTTAATATACAAATTATTTCTTTTAGATTTTTTTATAAAAGTAATTTAACAATTCCACCACTAACCAAAGTGTATGGTAGAAGTTGAAAATTGTGCTACAGTAATTATGAGAG